TTCTTTATAAGATTGTATTTAACTAAAACCCAAAAATATAAAATAGTGGTCCATTCGAATTGCTATATTGTATATAATAACGAAAATGTGAAATTAATCAAACTTCTGTATGTAATAGGAAAGTAACAAAATGCTTAAGCAAATACAAATATAGCTACCAAAATATGTAGTTGTTACTGAATCTCTCTCTTGTTCTTTATAATGATACTATATATTCAAAGACTTTTTTTTTTTCATTGAGTTACTCTTCATCTAACTCTAACTATTGTTTTGATATATATGGTTGTTTTGATATATTATTTTTAGGAGAATATATTGCACTTTTTTTTTAAAGGACACATATTGAGGAAATGTTTTGATAGAAATTTTGTTAAATCAAGATTCTTGATGTACTTCCACTTTTAATATGCTTATTTATAAATCAAAAGTCAAAGATATTAAATTAATGAAGAGATAAAGTTATAGGGAAGAAGTTTTTTTGAAAAGTTTTTTAAAAAAAAGATAAAATGAGGATTTATTTAGGTTTTATTAAAAAAATGTGATTTTTTAATATCTTAATAGATTTTAAAAAAAAATAGAGATTTTTTATAAAATATGTGTTCAAAACGGAGATTTGCTAACTATGCATTGATCACACTAGTCAAGACAAGAAGAAAGCTTCCTTGATAACTATCAAGAAGCGAAAAGGACAAGGATTTTCTAGCCTTAATCAAGCCACCAATCTAAGGAGGGCTCCACTTCTATACAAAGTAGGGCCTTCTGAACAACACAATGTAGGAGGAAGTACTATTTTCATTAGTTAAATCATCAACTACTGCTTATTTACATCAATGTAATATATAAAAACCCACTCGTGGGCTCTAGACATTGACCAAAATATCTCTAACAAAATAATGGAATTACTAACCTACCCTTCTACCCTATTCCCCATACAATTAAATCCCTGTGCATGCAACCTAATTACCATTTTATAAGTTCTCATTCATGCAACCAAATTCCCATATATAAGAATTTTACATCATTGACTATTTGATTTATGGGCATTCAAAACAACATTAATTTTACTTTGACTTGTTGACTACATTGGGAATCTATAGCACTCTGTTCTACCCTAGACTTTATACTAGAACTCAAAACAACTCATTAACGATAAATTTCAAAATGATACTTAACAAGTAAAATATCACAACACGTATAACTTAACAAATGATACAATTCTAGAAAGTCCATACTTCAAATTAAGAAAAAATAAAAACTTGTTTTAGCCAGCCCCTTGGGGCGATTTGCATCACCAAAAAGAAAAACATACTCATAAAGTTGATATTTTAGGTATCTTTTGATAAAAACTGAAATATAGAATAACTAATACTATAGGTGATAAATTTCTTGATAATGTGACCTACATTAGAAAAGTTCAATGTCGTCATAGCTCTCTTTCAAATCAAATTGAAATAAATTGCATTGTAGCGCCATTTGGAGTAGGAAAAGGTTAGAACAAGGCCTATGCTTTATGGAAAAAGCATATTGGCACAACAGATCTAACATCAAATTACAGTTCTTTTGTCATATAACCCTTTTATTGATCATCTTGACTTACAGTTTTTGTGTCATATAACTCTTTTATTGATCATCTTGACACAAATACAATCTCAACAAAATAATCTCAAGCCCTAGCATAGTATATCTTGAAACATATTATCCAGGCCATCCATTTTTAAGTATTAACAAATCCACAAGGTATAAATATTAAATTTATAATCAGGTATAAAAATAAAGTTTTAAGCTCTCATAGAAATTTATGATGAAGTGAGGCTACACTGTTTTCTATAAGGCCTAAGCCTCATATATACTCTCTAAGGAGTTAAACTTAGCTTCTGGTAGCCCGCTCTTGGCCTGACCTTCGGGCCACATTTTATGACACATGGCCTCTTTTTTCGAGGGCCAGACTAACCAAGCCAGGCCGCGCCGCTTGGCTCATTGCTCGGCCTAAATTATAACATGCATGAGTCAAAGGTTTTTTTTTTTGGAGCTCAGTCCCTTCCTCTACCTCCTCCCTCCTTTTCCTTTCATCTCTTCTACCCTTCCCTCCATATCTTTCACATTTAATAAAAAATCTATCTTTACTTTTGAATACCTTCTTTTTTCCTTGACTCTCATCTCTTCTAGGAAAGGTAACACCTAATATGGAGTTTTTCTTTTCAATGGGTATTTCGTTTTCTCTAGGCCTTTGAATTTTTTTTATAAGCCTGAAATTCCTTGTATTTGGCAATTTGAGGTTAACACATAGGACGAGATAGGTCTACTTGAGGTAGTATTGAGCCTTGTTGTGGAGGTTTTTGCTCCTTATGGAGTACACTCTCCATATTGATGGCCTTATACAGTATCCTAGAGAATGTGTTTGTGACCGTTTTCTCTATCTCCTTGCCATTCTCCTTTTATGGTTTCTCATCCCATTCACTACTCTCTTGCTCTATTTTCTAAATCCCACTTGTTGCTGGTTGCGTTGACATGCTTTAGATGCTGCCATGTCTGGATGCCATCATTGTTTGAGTGTGGCCCCAACTCCAGTATTTGTGCTTATTGTAGAAGGGATGATGCTTAGAAGTGGTGGTGAGTGATCAGGGTTCGGGTTGAGGGACTATAGAAGATTGGGCCTTAGTGGCTTGAAGCGGTTAGTAGGGATTCTAAGTTTATTGGTAGCAGTGCTTTAAAACCAGATGATTTTCGATCTGATTTACCGATTTGGATGAAGAGTTGGTTGGGACCAAACCGGCTCCAAAATAGTATGAGTGCCCCATAAAACCCCATTTTCATTTTTTAAAAAACTCATCTAATGTTTTTTGTGGTCGCCACTAAATCCCCACTTTATAAATTTCTATTTTAATTTTATTTTTATTTTTTATTTTTTTGGATCGCCTATGTAGACGAATGATCCGGATCATCGATCCAACCGATCCGAACCAGGATTGAGGGTGGACGATCCACCCCATTGATCCCTTTTTCTTTTTTTTTTAACATTGGTTGGTAGTGTAAGGTCTTCAAGGTTTAGAGTTTAGTCATGTCGGTCGGTCTTTTTTCTCTCTTTTTTCGTTGTAATTTGGAGGTTATTACAGAATTACCACAAAGTTTTCGTTATGAAGTTTTCGTTATTGTATATATATATCGGAAATGATCTTCTGATCCTCCCACACCCATGTGTGTAGGACCTCAAATGATCACCATTAATTTGACACATATCTCAAAGAAAAGTCAAATCCCGCACCGATGTGATAACTTTATAAAAATATGTGCCAAATTTAATGGTGATCCTTTGCGGTCCTATACACATGGGTGTGGGAGAGTCTCATAGGATCATTACTATGTGTGTGTGTGTATATAGTCGTGGGGAGGCAAGGGCACACGAGGGGAGTAGG